TTGGTTCCTCAGTGTTATTAGTGTGTATGGTAACTGGTGTAAATACATCCATTATCGTTGTCAATAAATAAGAAAAAGAGACATGCACAACTGTGACCAGGATTTGTACTGATGAATTTGCTATTTTATTGGAGATCTTTACTGAGAATCTACTGAGTACAATTATTCCCAATAGAATACTTAATATATAAACTTGATATACAGTATAAAGACCATATCTCCATAGCTCTGTCATTTCACTGTAGAGACATAATGGAAAACTTAAATCATAGTCAGTCCAACCATTTAAGAGTATGTTCATTCCTTTTTTATCAACTGATGGTGGATCAATAAAGCCCAGTAATTGTACACAGAATATGATACCATTTAGACTACCAGTAGTTAGTGTCAGTTTGAGAATGTACAACAAGTAAATGAGAAGAGGACCAATCACTGCATATATTATTAGTATGAACAGCCACCAGTTACTGCATTGCTTACATTCATAAGATCCAAACACTACACTATACCCAGGAGGACATTGTGAACATAAAAGTCCTTCTCTATTATCAATACATAATGGTACAGAGTTACTAAGATCATCAGAGTCTGCTATTGCTACACTGGTGTCATTGACTATCAGTTTAGTGTAGCCACTTTTATACTTACAGTACCCAATACAGTTTAATGCTGCACCAAATACAACAGTACCATTAGACAAATTAGCTATACCAATCCATTCTGTACCAGTTCTTGTAATTGTAGAGATAGAGTTATCTGCTCCAGAGCTTATGTGACAATCAGGTTGATAGGAAGTACTAAGTTTATGCAATAATCTTGAACAGACACATTTACCTTCAGTAACATTCAGTTCAAATCCTATGGGACAATCAAGCAACTGTATACCATACAATATCAGGCCTGATGCGATAGAGCTGGATGATACAATAATTGCTGGAGATGAAGGATTAGGTTCATTTCTATTTTTGAGAAGTGTTATTGTAACTGAAGTGCAGTCTTGTTTTTCTAATAAAACTTGATTTGCACTATTAGCTGATACTTGCCATGAAGGAACTAAATGAACATTATCACGATCAATTAATAAAAAAGTTACTGCCGCATAACCATATTGCATTATTGAGTAGTTATAACTGTACACTGCTGCTAACTGAAGTTCAATATTTTGACCTGGACGTATAAAAGCACTCAAATTATATTCAATTGTTACATCATTTGCATTGCAAGATGCAGCATTACACAAATACAATGAAGTAGGTGGTATAGAAATTTTGCCATGCTTAGAAGAAAATGAAAATATTGTGTCAAGATCTAATGCAATATTCAATTTACAATCATATAAATTGTTACTGTAAATAGAACTACCTGCCTCTGATGCTATATTACTGATAAATGTCATCTTAATATTAGTAATGTTATTGGTATTGCTTTGAAACATACATTTATGAAAGTCATCATCAGCAATAGCATATATAGCACCACCTATTGTAAGAGCAGTATTGTTAATGAAAGTAACATTTGATCCATTAGAAAGGAGGAAATAACTTGAACCTTGTACTTTAAAACCAGTTCCCATGTATCCATTGTTACCAATAATGTTTAGTTGACCACTTAAATATATGATTGTATTGGTGATATCAAAAATAGATCCAAAATTGTATGAAAGATTATTGTATCCACTGATATAAAGCCCTTTAGCATTGCCTATTTTAATCAGTTCTGCCATTGTGTTGCCAAATTTATTATTTGTTTTAAAATTATTGTAAGCAGTTATGTTATTAAGGTAAACATTTAAAACTTCACTTTGTGTTCCAGTATCAACAGCATAAATACATGAACCTGATGCAGTAGCATTGTTGTTGGTAAAAACTGAATTATTCAAATTAATATTGACTGTACTATGTGATGAAGGATTATAAAGACCAATGAAAATTACACTTGATGGATTTGATGGAGGTTGATACAAAACAGTGTCAATGAATTCACTATTCATGAAATGCAATGGAGTACTGGTAGTACCAGAAATGTCAGTCATCATAAGTAATACCATACTGGAGGCTATGTTAGATACAAAGCTAGCCTGATCAAATACTGTTGCACCATAACTAGTTTTGTAATGAAGGAAAAACATGGTAACACCATT